GGTGCTGGGCCGGGGGGTGGGGAGGGAGGGGGAGCCTGTGTGTGGGGCAGTGGGGTGCAGGCCGTGCGCTGCTCTGTCAAAAGGGACAGCGGTAGCGTAGGGCGACTGGCCCTACAGGGAGCTTCCTCCGGAGCCTTTCGGGTCTCTGGTCCCAGTCGGGACTGGGGGTGACAGGGCTGGCGCGTCGCGGAGCCGGCTGTGTGTTCTGTCTGAGTTGTGGCCGAAATGAAGCCAGTCTTTGAACAGTGGGTCTCCCTGGAGCTGGCCGAGGTGCAGGGGCTGCCTCGTTCCCAGGGTAGCTGCTGCTGTGTGCTGCCGGCTGCACCGGCACGGCAACATCCCCCCGGGGGCCTTCCCGGTGCGAGATCTCGCTGTTCCTGTTCAAAGGGGTGAGTGTAGGGCTGCATGCGGCGCCTGTGCGTTATAGGTGTATGACACAGTAAAAGTAGTATTTAAAAGTGTGTGCGCCGTCTGTGGGAAGGAAGACTAATCTTGCTCAATGACTCTGATAATGTTTGTGGCTGGAAGTGTCTTAAAACAATTTATGTGTGTCTGCTGCTTTTGTTTAAAAAGCTAGGGCTTCCTGTAACAGCTAGGCGTTTAAAGAGACAGCTGTTATGTTACTAGTGTCTTTGATCAAGGCAGAGGCTGTTATTATATCTAAATATGAAGAAGTGTCTCATTCTCAAGTACTGATCCCAGTTTTTTAATTTAACTCTTGTGGAGTAAACTTGCTGTTTATTATTTGCTCTGTTTTCAGGCGTGCTTTTATCTGTTTCTCTTAAAAATCTGATAAGCAAGATGTCTACTAATGAGAATGCCAATACACCAGCAGCTCGGTTGAACAGATTCAAGAACAAAGGAAAGGATACTACAGTGAGTATTTTGATGCAATTAGTACTTTAGCTAACCATCATCTTGGCTTTGACAACTCTTGTTTAAAGAGAACTTACTATGAATGTATATCCTCTAGGAAATGAGACGGCGGCGTATTGAAGTCAATGTAGAGCTCAGGAAAGCTAAAAAAGATGACCAGATGCTTAAAAGAAGAAATGTTAGCACTTTACCAGATGATGCTACTTCTCCTCTTCAGGAAAATAGGAGCAATCAGGTAACTAGGTACCTGGAACAGGAACACTTGAAGGTCTTGCAATATGAGCTCATGCAGTATGAATCCATTCTTTTGTCAGGGACAGCACTGCTACATCTACACTACCAGCTTCAGTCTATACTACCAACTCTAAGGGACCAAGCTCTTAAAATATAGCTTAGGCAGTTGTGTTTAAGCCTTCTGTATCAGTGTAACAGTGGTGTGAAGCACTTGATGGGAAAAAAAGCTTTCAGTGATTCAGATAACTGTAGATAAAGCTGTAGCTGTAGGTTTTGGAGTATCACATAGTGGTATAGTCTTTTAATCAAGGAAGCGGTTGTAAACTGGGGTCTATACATAATATTGTGTAGAGGGTCTCTGGTCATGAAGACACATGCCTCTCCCAACAAAGCATTCATGTAACTTTTTATTGTACAGGTTTTGGCACACTGGACAGTTGAAGAAATAGTCAAAGGTGTTAATAGTAATAATATGGAGGTTCAGCTACAGGCTACTCAAGCTGCCAGGTAAGGAGTTCAAAGGTAACCAATTCAGCTGTGCAAGCCAGCAACTAGGCGAGGTAAAAGAATTGGCTTATGAGCCTCAGTGTCTACTTATGGCACCAGCCATGAGTCTTATCAGATAGTGTTTTCAAAACCCGAGTCAGCCTTATATACAATGCTTAGGTATGTTTAATTTAGTTATGTTAAAAGTGCCTGAGCACTTCGCTAGGAAGTGGTAATTCTAGTGGTTTTGAGGTGGCAAAATAAGTCACTCTGTCAGAGTTGTAGGAGTAAAAATAAAACCTTTGTAGCAAAATAAGTTATCTTTAAACTATGTTAACACTTGATTACAATATTTGATTGCAGTGACCTACCTTGGAATAACGTGAACAGTAAGATGACTGGAGTTTGAAGTATGCCAAATTTCCTTTCTGCTTCCAAATCTAAAATCTCCTTTAGCAAGCTTGTATATTGCTGCAGTGCCCCTTCTGGCAGTCATTAAGCTCTGTCTGTTGAGAAACCTCTCGCAGTTCAGATGTATTATGACTCCTGCACATCTGCTTTATTTCAGTCTGAACAGGACTTTTCGTATAGTGAAGACATGCCAAAAACAATGTTAACAGAGGTTTAAGAAGCTAGTGTTCAGCTTGTCTGTATTTCTCCTTCATGTCTTGTTGTGTTGCCTTCTCTGAATGTTAAGGCAATGCTAAACATTTTCTCCTTTTAAATATGGATCTGATATTTAATTTATTTTTAGACTGATTGATAGAATCTGATTTTCAGATCTCTGCAGACAAATAATGCTTTGTTTGTCTTATTCCTTAGGAAACTCCTCTCAAGAGAGAAGCAGCCCCCCATAGACAACATAATTCGGGCTGGTTTGATTCCAAAGTTTGTCTCCTTCTTGGGTAGAGCAGACTGTAGTCCTATTCAGTTTGAATCTGCCTGGGCGCTTACCAACATTGCTTCTGGCACATCAGAACAGACAAAGGCAGTAGTAGATGGAGGGGCTATTCCAGCCTTTATTTCACTACTGGCGTCTCCCCATACTCACATCAGTGAACAGGCTGTGTGGGCGCTGGGAAATATTGCAGGTACGTCAATATGCTACACAACTCTTCCAGACCTGCTCCCTTATCTAAAATAGGTGGACATTACTGCTGCTGTGTCATGCAGCATGCTGAGCTTCTTGGAAACTCTGCCTTAATGCTTTGCAAGTAAAGACATGCTCTGCAGTGTAGAGTATGCTGTGGACAAGTCTTAGCTTCAGACCTGGTATAAGATGTCCAGTGCAGTACCTGGCAACCTGCAGGTTGCATTATGTGGATTGCTTCCATATTTAGCCCAGTTTTCATAGAGCTATTAAACCATGCTACAACATAAGGCTTTTTCATGTATCTCACTTGAAGTTTTTGTGATTTATCAAGTTATCAAGAGCTCTTGGGGTGGGGAAGGAAACAAGCAGATGACTTGCGTAATTGTGCATGTGATGGCCAATATTCCTTGCTTTGAAGCAGCTGCTTACTGATTATTACATAATTAACTTTCTCATGCAACTTTCAGGATTACTTGATCTGACAGTGCTGGATCCCATTCTTAAAAAAAACCTGGTCAAAATTAATGTATTAATTGCTTTTTGTTATATTGTATTTGCTGTATTATTCTTTCCAATAGCTGTTCAGAGAACAGTGATTTTTAATGCAGAGAAAATGACTTCAATAAAAGCCTTGTTTGATTGGGGTTTTCTTAAAGCTTGTCCTTAGTTTTTTTTAACCTCAATTGCAAGGCACAAAAAGTACCTTAGAATAATTCACTCAAACTTTGACATGCCTTCAGTATTATACTATAGAACTCAGTCATGCAACCAATGATTATAATGCATTTGAAGTCCCATGTTACAGTAAGAGCTCTGTTCTAGTGGTAGGGCTTATCTAAGTTTTCAAAGAAATGTGTGTCCCTGGTTAGTTATGAACTCTAAGAAAAGCTGTATAGAAAACCTACACTATTTTTTTTTGTGTTGGAAAAAAAAAGATAAACAGTGGCTTGATTAGAGAAAACAAATGCCTGTCATAGGACTTAACCATGGGAGTAGTCCCTTTGTCCTCTTATTTCTTTTTACTTTATCTAACCTTTCTTAAGCAGTAGAAGAATTCATCCTCTAACACATACTGATTCTGTATGCACATGTCCCTCTATTCTGGTCTTCACCTGGCTATTTTTTTTTGTTTTCCCAGGGGATGGTTCTGCCTATAGAGATCTAGTTATTAAATTTGGTGCAATTGAGCCACTGCTGAGTCTACTAGCTGTTCCTGATCTCTCTTCTCTGGCTGTAAGTGTGCAGTATGATTTGAGTTAAAATTTTACTAAGTGAGTAAAAGAGCTCAAGTAACTGAACAGATGCTAACCATTTGTTTCAACTCTTGCAGTCTGGATACTTACGCAATGTTACCTGGACCCTCTCAAACCTGTGTCGTAATAAGAATCCTGCACCACCTATAGAAGCTATTGAGCAGATTCTTCCAACTCTTGTTCGGCTCTTGCACCATGATGATCATGAGGTGTTAGCAGACACATGCTGGGCACTTTCCTATCTAACAGATGGTTCCAATGACAGGATAGAAGTTGTTGTGAAAACTGGACTGGTGCCACAACTTGTGAAACTGCTGGGATGTAGTGAACTGCCAATAATGGTAAGCTAGCAGGCATGCAGATTGCTGTTGCTTGATTTGAGTCATGAATAAAACTGCAGTTAGAATAGTGTCCATGTAACTGAATGGTTCCTTTCATACATAAATTGGATGCTTGTTCCAGGTCTTGCATAGGTAAGACTTGACCTTCTGTCTTGCCTGGAGACTGCTCCACATGAGGCATAGACTGTTGATGACCATCAAGCTCCTTTACATAATCATTGACTTTAACACACAGGCCAGCATAACAGTCAGCATCCTTTAAAGTTTGCTTTTTAACTCTAAACTACTATTGCAAACCCAAATTCTAGGGACAGTGTTTAGAAGTGGGCTCTGTTGCACACTCTAATTATAGTATAATAAAACTGCATTAGTACTTAGGAGGTGGTTTTCCTAAGCTCTGTCATGTGTAGTTGTTGGCAGATTGGCCTTGGAATGCTAACGAGGAGCTTAACCCATCAGAACATTGTCTATTGCACTCTTCACTGGGAAGGCTAGAGTGGAGGGACATAAAGTGTGGTTGCACTTGTTCAAACACAGGTGAGATGGTACCAATTTTCCTAAGCACTATTTTCATGTTTGTTTCAGACTCCTTCACTAAGAGCCATAGGAAATATTGTCACTGGTACTGATGAGCAGACGCAGATTGTAATTGATTCAGGAGCACTATCAGTCTTTCCAATTCTCCTTTCTCATCATAAAAACAACATTCAGAAAGAAGCAGCATGGACAATGTCCAACATCACTGCAGGACGACAGGACCAGATTCAGCAAGTTATAGATCATGGTCTTGTGCCTTATCTCATTGGTATTCTGAGAAAGGTAAACAAAAACTATATTTACTACATTGAGGCTTTTGCTATTGCTACTACTGCCTGTGTTTAAAAACCCTGCTTCTACCTTCATAGGGGGATTTCAAATCTCAAAAGGAAGCTGTATGGGCTGTGACCAACTACACAAGCGGTGGAACAATTGAACAGATCGTGTATCTTGTTCAGGCTGGTGTTGTTGAGCCCCTACTGAATCTCCTCTCGGCTAAAGACAGCAAAACTGTGCTAGTTATTCTGGATGCAATTTCTAATATCTTCTTGGTATGTGGATGCAGTATACTCAATCATTGTCCATTGTGTTGCTAATAGCTCTCCAATAGCTAGTGCTGTACCTCTTTCCTGAGGTTATTCCATGCTTATCTCTTGCAGGCTGCTGAAAAGATTAATGAGACTGAAAAACTTTGCCTCATGATAGAGGAGTGTGGGGGTCTAGACAAAATTGAAGCTCTGCAGTCACATGAAAACGAACAAGTGTACAAAGCTTCATCCACCCTGATTGAGAAATATTTCTCAGCAGAAGTAAGTGGCTGCAGGATGATGGCTTTTTTTGACTTTTATTTTCTATTCTAGTACTGACTACTAGGTTGAAATGCTACTGCTCTTTCAAAACTTTTTTCTTTTCCTTCTAGGAGGAAGAAGACCAAAATGTTGTACCAGACTCTACTGCAGACAGCTACACTTTCCAAATTCAGGGCAATGCTCCAGATACTTTCAACTTCTAGGTCTTGCATATACTATAGACACAAGTCGTTTGGCACACAAATGACTGCCACCTCTTTGTCTTAATAGTTTCTCTTGGATTTTTAGTGTTTTTTTATGTGACCTGTAGCACTTTGACCAACTGAAACATACTTGAACAGTTCCAGACTGTACATATGTGAATTTCTGACTGTAAGCCTCATTTTTTCTGAGAGGTACTTGTAAATATTTGTTTTCTTTCTGGTTCTTACTGTCGCTGTCAGGCATAATGCATGTGAGCAATACAGGCTTCTCACAAAGCATGAGCCACTACTCTGCAAACCTCTTCATAACCTGTTACATTCTACATAACCTATTGCTGTAATCAATACACTGAGTAGGTTTTTAAAAAGGATTTATATTTGAAGTTCAATAAAGTGATATCAATACATTGAACTGTGTCAATTGCTCTCTTAAAAGGTGACTGTTATGGTAAGTATATATTAATCAAAATGTATAATGGCAAGAATGCAGGTCTAAACCATGAGAGATGGGATTCTGAAGATGGGTTTTTAGCAGCTTGGTCACCCTGAGCTCTGACTTGTGTGTATAGCAGGTTTCTGTTACTGTAGAACAAATGAATTACCACTTCTCTCTAGATATCTCTTACAGAAATCTGATTCATTCTACCCTGTTCATAACTGAGCTGAACTGTCTTCTGCCTTTTGGAGAAATATTAAAAGACTGTAGTAACACTACTTCACTACAAGTAATAGTGTGGAGGAGGGAAAGTACAGCCATTAACCAATTGTAAGTATGTTCAGGTAGCCTCTTAGCACAGAGCATAGGAAATGCTTTGAAGCAGTTGCTTACTCTGGAGAGCAACAATAAAGGCCTTGTCTTGGACTCTATTGTTGCTCCCCTTCTAAATCATGATTTACACTAATCTCTAGAAGTGTTCATGAAGGCAGGGGCTTTTGGAGAGGACAAGTAGTAGGCAGAGAGGGAGAACTGTAGTCCTGTTTTCTAGCTTTTTGGAAAAACTTGGATTGAGCTCTTTCATTAACTAGACCCTCCCTGGAGTCAATGTGTCTGAATAACCATATTGACTCAGCTCTTCGAGCTTCTCTTGGAGGAGAGGTCAGTTTTTCATGGCTAGATTTTTCATAAGTGTGACTTATATTTGAAACACAGCATGTCACTTCAGTGTAGTGTATTAAATATCTCTTTGATTATTAATAAATGGGGAAAAAACTGCATGTGCAGACAGTTTTCCCAGAGTGCCCACAGGCTCTGTTTCTGCCCTGGGGGGAGGGAAGAGAACTAGAAAACCCAAACATACAAAACATAAAAAACCCCTTGTATTCTGCTAAGGGAACCTGATGAAAGAATCTAGTTTGATCTTGTACGTTATTCTGCTGCTTATGCCTATTTTAAAGTCCATATGCATATAAGCGAATTTGGATGTAATTCTCTTTAAATTTTTCATTAAGAATGCCTGCTATTGAAAGGACACTGAACCTAATTACCATGCTCCTATACTGTTACCAAAGGCTTCTTTAAATGAGTTATTGCTAATGTGGCACATGCCCCTCTCACCTCGGTTATTGTGGTGCCAGTCTACTTCATGCTGTTTACTGTACCACTTCACCTGCTTTTTCTTTACCCCAAAACAAAGCTGCAGCAACTAATAAGCTTTACAATAGGAGTCTTTAAAGGCAATCAGACTATAATGGCTGTTGTAACCCTGTGGCATCTTCTGCTCGAGCAGTTCATGTCTGTGTTACTAACCTTCTGTTTCCAGGTCTGTGCTGCCAAGGGGAGGGTGAGACTGAACTGGGGCTGTGGCGTGTTCTCTACTACTGGGAGAGGCTGCAGGTGGCACCCAGCACCTGCAGAAGAAGCTGCAGCACCAGACTGAGGAGCAGAATGCAAGTCTAACACCACAGATACTGCACCACCCTTGAGACCAGATTCTGGTATTATCTTAGCAGTATCTGTGGAAACAACCATCTGCCTGCCAATACCAAAGCCTTTGATATTATGCAGGGGAAAAATAATCAAATAGGGCTTCTATGCATCTGCAGTGAAGCCTTCTGTGCCCTTTAATTTCTTAAAGCTCCAACTTTGACCTGAAAGCATCAGTTAGAAAATAATTATTTTCTGTGTAACTGTCTGCAGAGAACTGAAATAATTAAGCTATATAAAAGCAAATATACCAAGTCAGCTTTCATAAATTAAATCATTCCTTCCGCATACTTTATGGGTTTATAAGGGCAATGACACAATGACTTGTGAAACATAATTCAGAAATCTTCAGTAATTTTAGATTTCTAACTCTGTAAAATATCGCATCTTCCAGTAGAGGGTGCTACAGGAAACCTCACAGTCTCTCTGCTTCTGAGAGGTTGATGTAGTTTCATCCAGCCTGGACCACTCAGGTATGATGTACTTTATTTTATAATTAAGAAAATTCTGATGTAAAATCCATATGGGTACTTCTTGTAGTTACAGAAGCATCTATGTGCTTACTCCCAAGTATTTGACAAGATTGAATACTGAATATAAAGTATAACCTTTTAAAAGTGGTATCTCTGGGCACTGTTACTTTAAAACACAAGGGCTTGCTTTGATTGCTGTTTAGTGTATTTGCAGTTAATTTGGCTTTTCTGTCTCTCTGTATAGGAAAGGGGATGAGAATGCAGAACACTTATTGAATAATGTTATATCTATTTTTTTCCCTGAAGTACTTGTTTCAGAATTATCTAATATACTGAGTTAATAACAGAAGACTGCAAATTCTTCTCTAGGTGCCTGACAGCTCAGTGGCTTAATAATTAACTTTCTGGGGACTGAGACTTTGTTTTTATCCAAGAAAAATGTGTTCAGCTTATCCACCAATGTGCCCTGTTCTTGGCAGCACGTATTTCCACAAGCAACAATCTACAGTGATTATGAGTAAGTGACTAGGGTGAGTCACTCCTTATTCTAAGAAAATGCAAACTATTTCTGATGTTAGGATCATAGTCACCCATTGGGCTGTGTCTCCAGCTTAAAAAAAAAAAAAAGGCGGTAGGAGCAAAAAGGGAGAGAATTGTTATTGCTCCTGGTTGTTGGTTTGTTGTTCGGTTGGGGATTTTCTTGTTGCCCAGCTGGATTTAAGAACCAGCCTTCTCCATTTGGCAAATGCCTAATTCAGGGTAAGGGCAGGAATAAATGTCTGGTGGCCTATGTGTCAGCCTGCCAAGTCCTCTGTGCTGAGAGCAACAATAACAGACCCCTGCTGACATCAACTAGCTTGGAATGCAGCTGTTGCTAATGCTATTTTATCTGTGGAGTGATGGCAACATTTCAGCTTAAAATCCTAGCGAATGTAACCACCTCTGAAGTTCTGATGCTAGCAGATGCTGCCTGTGTGATTGCTTCCACTTGCTGTTTCTAAAGATGCTAGGCTCTGAAGGAAGAGCAGAGGCTTTGCAGTCCTGTTTTTCAATGGCATGTCTGTTCACTTTCCACTACAGGAAGAACAGTTTAAACTTTGGGAAAGCTAGAAATGGTTAAATTAGGAGAAATCTCTTCTTTGTTTCCCTGTGATTTAGACTGAAATAGTCTCTTAAGCAAAGGTGCCTCCTGCTACTCTATGTAGAATGATTTAAATTGCACAGAACTACAGTGCTGTATCAGCAAAAGAAGAGAACAGCTGCAAGTTTACAGGAAAAGGAATTTACTAGCCAACAATATTTCACAGATCTCTTCTGTTTCTAAATCTATTTTGCAGCAGAGCAAACTGAGATACAATAAAGGTATCCACAGATGTCCAGAAAGTAGCTGGTAGAATGGGAACCTGGAGCCTGGGAACCCTGATGTCCATTCCTCTAGTTACCCATGGCACCTCTGGTCACCATTATCGCTTTGCTGAATACAGGATTATGCCAGCAGGATTGAATCTCTTTTGTGATAAGGTAGGACGTAAGGTTAAAACACAGGTCTAAACTTTGGGAATGTGAACAATTTGGGGGAAAAGTACTGTTATTCACAACAGAAGTAATATATGAAAGTGATATTTGGCCTATAGAGCAAAATGTTGGGACTCTCACTTAAAACCTAATAGTAAACACATTAACCCTTTGGCCTGAGTTAACAACTTGAGCTTGACTCACCTTCAGGGGAACATGCTAGGAGAAGAGCCTAGGATGGAATTAGGTGACACCTCCTCAGGTTGGGAGGGGTGTACCCAACCCAATTGCAAAATCCAGTAAAAAAAGAAACATTCAGAAGAACACTCAAGCTACAAGTGTGCAATGTTGTTCATGGTGTTTGGAAAACACTTCCTTCTTTTTTATCTTCAGTATGGCACTGATACAAGCCAGGCAGAAACTCACCATGTAAACAGCTAAGAAAGAATTGATTTGCCATGGGTTTCGTAGCACTTCATCTGGAATAAGGGTCACTGGATTCCAGTCCTGTTTCGGACTGCAGAGCACTGTCTGTCTCAGACTGGCTCCAGGAATCTCTTCTGCAGAAACCAGAAGTTTTCGTGGAAGGGCCATGGCCTGTTTCCAGGTTGCAGTTCACCCACTGCCCAAGGGAGTGTCATTAGTGGGAGGGAAGTGAAGTTGGGACTTAAACGGATGAAAAGAAGAGAGAAAAATTAAAGCAGGGTGGAGAAAAATCCTGATAAATCTTCATAAGCAGAACTTGCTTAACCACATTAAAATGTGTTAATCGTTTAAAAAAAAAATGGGCAAAATCCAGAAGTCATATATCAGGAAGGGAGTTTGAATTGACTGATAATACTAAAAGCAAAACCAATGGCACTGATTTCACTGCAGAAGAGGCTGGATTACACCTGTGAGCTCAACAGAAGAGGCAGTATAATGAGGAAGTCATACTTTATTTTGTATCTTTCTCAATTTGCATTGCAATGTGAAGTGAAGATCATGGGGTCATCTTCTGAAGGTGTGATTTTATATATACATACATATAAAATATATAGTGGAAATCTGCCCAGTTTGTTATCGGTAACAGATTGCCTTTTGTCTAT